ACTGGTGCTCTTCGCCACCTTCTCAGTCTTCAGCCAGGTGCTACTGGCTTCCCTGTGGCAGGTACTACTCCTCCGTTGCTGTGTCCACCGGCGGACCAGTCACAGCCGCCGCTGCTACCACACTCCCCACTGCCTGCTCCTGCTCCTTACACTGCGGTGTCAGAGTCCCTGACTGAGCGTCGAGAGCCTGAGACTCGTGCTTCCACCCCTGAGCGTCGAGAGCCTGAGTCTAGCTTTGACCTTGAGCCTGAGCCTAGAGCTGCTGTCCGTGCTCGTGTTCCTCGTGTTCGTCGTCAGCGTGCTCCGGCTGTCCCCGGCACTCACGATATGACACTCCGTCCTTCCTCTGTTCCTCAGCGTGTTGTCCTACCGTTACCTCCAGCGTCCTCTTTGCCTGACGTTGCTGACCCTCCGTCTGACCTTGCTCGTGCGTCCAGTCCGACTGTTACTCGCCTTCTTGCTACGGTTGTGACGGACCCTACGTTCTCGTCTCCTGCTGCGTCTGCCCTAGTAGCTGAGCTCGTTGACTTTGCTGCTGTGTACCGCCTCGACTACCTTGCGAGTCTTGTCTCTGACCCTGTCCCTGCCTGTCCTCCGTCCGTCGGGGGTGAGACTGCTCTTGGCTGCACTGCCCTTGGCTGTGACGTTCTTGAGGACAGACAGGAGGAGCTGGAGTGCCTTGCTGCCGCTTCACCCCATCACGCGACCATGCTGCTTGCCCCTGAGGGAGACCCGGATGCACTTGACATCCCCACCCCGCGCTCCTACAGGGAGGCGATTTCGGGTGAGTACTCCTCTCAGTGGCAGACAGCCATGGACGCAGAGATGGCTTCCTGGAAGTCCACAGGCACCTACGTCGACGAGGTTCCCCCACCTGGGGCGAACATCGTCAGTGGCATGTGGATTTTCAGGGTGAAGCGGCCGCCGGGTTCTCCGCCTGCCTTCAAGGCACGTTACGTTGCTCGAGGCTTCAGTCAGCGTGAGGGGGTCGACTTCTTTCAGACCTTCTCTCCCACCCCGAAGATGACCACTCTTCGGGTGTTGCTACACGTTGCAGCTCAGCGTGACTACGAGCTGCACTCCCTCGACTTCTCGACAGCTTTCTTGCAGGGTAGCCTTCACGAGGCCATCTGGTTGCGCCGTCCACAGGGCTTCACTGGGTCGTTTCCTGAGGGTACCCAGTGGAGCCTACGGCGACCAGTGTACGGCTTGCGCCAGGCGCCCCGCGAGTGGCACGACACACTGAGGACGACACTTGCGGCTCTTGGGTTTGCTCCTTCGACTGCTGACCCGTCGCTGTTTCTACGCACCGACACTACTCTGCCGCCGTTCTACATCCTCGTGTACGTCGACGACTTGGTTTTTGCTACTGCTGACACTGAGGCACTGGCCCTAGTGAAGGCGGAGCTGCAGGAGAGACACACCTACACTGACCTGGGTGAGCTGCGGAGCTATCTTGGCTTGCAGATCACCCGGGACAGACCACGGCGCACCATCACCCTGACTCAGTCACACATGGTGCACCAGGTCCTACAGCGCTTCCGCTTCACGTACTCCTCGCCACAGCCCACTCCTCTGGCTACCGGCCACTCGCTCTCAGCTCCACCTTCGGACGAGTCCGTAGAGCCGAGTGGTCCGTACCCAGAGCTTGTGGGCTGCCTCATGTACCTGATGACGTGCACACGACCTGACCTCGCGTACCCTCTCAGCCTTCTGGCTCACTACGTGGCACCCGGTAGGCACCGAAAGGTGCACTTTGATGCTGCGAAGAGGGTACTGCGTTACTTGTGCAGCACATCGGGCATGGGGCTCGTGCTTGGAGGACGGGGTTCGGTGGTCCTCACAGGACACTCTGACGCCTCTTGGGCCGACGACCAGGCGACTCAGCGTTCGTCACAGGGCTACACCTTCAGTCTTGGCGCTGGTTCTGTCTCGTGGAGGTCCACTCGTTCTTCTTCTGTGCTTGGTTCCAGTTGTGAGGCCGAGATCTACGCTGGGGCCATGGCTGCACAGGAGTTCCGCTGGCTGACCTACCTGCTGACCGACTTGGGGGAGCGGCCTCGTTCTCCTCCAGTTCTGTACGTCGACAACAAGGCAATGCTTGCCTTGTGTCGCGAGCAGAGACTGGAGCACAGAACGAAGCACATTGCTCTGCGCTACTTCCTTGCGCGTGAGCTGCAGCGTGGTCAGCTGCGCCTTGCTTTCGTGGCCTCTCGGGCCAACACTGCTGATGTCTTCACCAAGGCCCTTGGGGCTGGTGATCATCAGCGTTTCTGCACTGCTCTTGGGCTTGTGCCCACTCTGCCTCACCTGCTGGTTGCTTGACTTGCTCTTGTTATACACTGCTATATATATCTTTATACCTGCATGTTTACTGCCTTGCTATTATAAATCTGCATGTGAACTGGCCTTGTGGCCGCCTGCTTGTGCTCAGATTGTGTGGTGTCCTTGAGATCCACCCTGGGCTTTGCCTTGCTTGTTCTGTTGCTTGACTGGTCTTGTGACCACTGTTAGGTTTGGCTATCCCCTACTTCACCTATGGGGGTGTGTCAAAACATATTGTTATGTTCTTACTCTAGGTTGTGTAGGGTCACACCTTAGAGGGTACAACCCAACTCTCTCGACACTCTTGTACCCCCTTTCCCTCACCTAATCATCATTCTTCACCTAGCTACTAGTGATTCTAACATTTGGGAGCAACATCTCAGAGATTGAACTGAGGAATGAATGACTAGGAAAGAAGGGTGATACAAATACAACCCTAAGGGCGCGTCCCCTCCCTCGATCGATCGTGAGATCGCCGTCAAAAAACCGATCGGGCACACCGATCGCAGGATCGGGGTAGGATTGGTAGGAGGTGACAGCAGCTTTGCGATCGCGGATTAATTTCGAGCCCAGGGTGACAGGATCGAGAGTTTTGCGGGGGAAAACCCATCGATCGTCAAGAAGCCTAGATCGGTGTGGGCATGAATGCACATCGATCGTCATCGGCGGAGGTGACAAGATTGTTTGGCACCCTTTACTGTACATTCGCAAGCCATCTAGAGAACGGGTTACCCTGTGAATTGCGACACTGTAGCTGTCCCTCGACCGATCGAGGGCAGGATCGATCGAGGGAGGGGACGCGCCCTAACAAAAGCAAATACAGCATGCCTCACCAGGCCCCACGTTATCAGGGCAAAACATCCTGATTACCCTGAAATCAGGATGTAGTTTTGAATTTGCCCTGTAATTTCAGAATAGTGTCAATTTTAACCCTGTGGTCTCAGGATGTTGTTGTATGAAATGCCCTGGACATTCAGGATGGCCGTGGTGTTCTCTCCTGAAGCGTCAGGATGAATGTCGAGGCTTGCCCTGACGCGTTTTTAGAGGAGGGGGAGGGGGGGGGGGGGGGGGGGGGGGGGGGGGGGGGAGGAGAAGGGGGGGGGGGGGGGGGGAGGAGAAGGGGGGGGGGGTGGTTCCCGTTCCCGGGGGGGTTTTTTCCCCCTTGTCTTTTTCCAGCCTTCGCACGATTCCTTTGACGGTTCCGATCCCCTGCAACGCACCTGCCAAACCCATCAGATTGGGAACAGGTTGGGCAAGGCAACACTCTCGTCTCCTCGTGTGCCATGCATGCACCCTTCCAGTGTTGCTGTTAGAGTAACGGCGGTGGTGTTCTCTGGTCTAGTCTGGTGGTGTTCTCTACACTGGATTAGTTAGCAAGAGTAGGACAATGCTGCTGCCACTAGAAGTGTTAAAAACAGAACCCTGAACACTTGTACTTTTGCCCTGACAGGCCAGGATAAATTTTTGCAGAAGCCCTGAAACTACAGGAAGCCTCTGAAAATTTACCCTGACAAATCAGGGCATTTGTTCAGATTCTGGAAAGTTGCCCTGAGGCCTCAGGATGCCCCAAAACCTAGCACGGGCCCTGTGCCTCACTACAGCCTAGTACATGCAAATATATGTTGGACACAACAAACCCTGTTCTTCCCCAACCTCCATCCAGTGTTACAATTTCAGTGCATGACTGTTGGCTGGCTGGTTACCTCACTGTCAGTCAGACCGAACTTCGAATCGATGGGGATGCCTTCTGATTCTGTGATCCTCTTTGCCAACCAGCATCGCGGACACAAGTTGCAGTTGGCATCGAAGGTGTGAACGAAGTTGGCGAAATTGGTGTCAGGTGAACTTTCAGAGTGGAACCTGTACCTGTCCGCAGTCCTGAACCGACCCACTTTTGCAACGCGGTACTTTCCGTTAACCACCACAATAACCCTACGTCAAACCCAAGAGGGTTACTGGTTCGCGTCGACGGCAAAATTTGCGAGTTTCGACGGAGTCGTTGGAAGATTTCGTCTATCGTTGACATCGCAGGCCACCTGATGATGGTTTGGAGAATGCTGCTCTGCTCCGCAACCTGCTGTGTTGCGTGGAATGCACATCCAGCCAGGGCCCACCACCACCCCAACCCAACTCACTCTCCCCTCTTCCCCTCTTCCTCCTCCTCCCCTCACCAACCCTCCTTTTTCTCCGCCCTTGCCGCCTCTCTACAGCGCAGTGACTCCCGCGTGGTTGAGGTCCTCAGGTTTGGGGCTCTTGAAATTAGTGTGAATAGCTAGCTGTTGGGACATCACCGACTATAGGTTAGGATCAGCTACAGCGCGCCGTTGTTTTTAAGTAACGAATCAGCGCGACTTGCGCCGACGCGCATCTTGTACGCCGTCCTTTAGCGCTCGTCTTATTGTGAACTGTGCAGGAGCTGCCGCCTGCATTTCACGTAATCTGGACTTGTAGCATTATCAGGCGCGCTTGCGACATATCGATATCATTGTAGTTGTTAGATAGTTTTATACAACTCGTTAGGTAGTTCCTAGGGCCGTTGAGCCACATCGGATGCGCATTAGAGACGAAAAGTGGTTTACCATCGCCACTGCTGCTTAACAATATTTATTTGACAGACCGTTACCACCACACTTGCCGTCGACTCCGACGGCTCTTTGCGGATCGCTTCTGTCTGCATGGCAGAGCGCATCCCTGCGCGAACCCCACCAGTTCCCGTTGTGTCCGCTGCGCTGCCCACCGATCCCGACTGCTCCGCGCTTTCCCCACATTCTGTTTCGCCGCCTTCCCCGTCGCAGCCGACGTGCATTCCGCGTCGCGGGAAGGCGTCTGGAGCAGTCGACAGTAGTGAGGTTAGTCACCCTGCCACGCCACCTGCGCCAAAGTCACCTACGCCACGCGGGCGCATTTACTGGCCGCTCGGGCAGCACGTCAAAGGCCAGCAATCGTGCGCTTTCATGAGATGGAAAGAAAACAAAATGTTTCTTTTTTCTCTTCACCTGATTTTTTTTATATATGTATAACTACGTTTGCCCGAGGTGTAATGTGCAGGTAGCGAGTCAATGCCAGCTGCGTCCTTAGATTGTTGATGGCCTGATGCACAAATCGCTTAGAGACGAGTTCCTTAACCTAAGCGCTTCTTCTCTGGGTACGACGACACGATCAAACCCTTGATTTCCCTCCTGCCCGCCACTACTTCTTCCCCCTGCTACGTGTCAGCAGCGCGCGCGTCATCGCAGGCCGCGGGTGCCGAAGTGGGATCGGGAGGAGGCGGACGAGGACGAGTCGTTTGCGGGCGGCAGCAGTGTGGCGCCCAGCGAGGGCAGCGGCGGTAGCTGCGAGCCCTGGAGCATGGAGGACCATTCCGCCGCCACCGCCACTGCCACGCCCACATCAGCCCTCGCGTCAGCGTCGCCTGATGCCGGACTAGACGAGCTCCTCGCGGACTTTGCGCAACTACTAACCAGCTCCCAGTGCGTATCGCCCCCCTCGCATGCCATGCCCTCGTGACTTGGTGCTCGCCGTGCCTCGTGCGCCCGCCACTGTCCGATTCTCCTCCCATGCGGCACTGCTTTCTCTATCTCAACTCCATGCTTCTTGCCGTTCGTTCTCCAGCCCTTCTCTTCTTCTTCCCGCTTCCCCCTTTTCGCTGATGCAACCGGGTTAGCTCGATAAACGACGTACCGATACACGCCACGCCACGCGATGTCTCACGCACACGTCAATGGTTCTTGCTCCCCCTTCTTCCCTGAACGCCTTCTTTCTACCCCTCCCTCGTTCTCCCCTCTCCCCCCCTCTCCCCCCCCCCCCCCCCCCTTCTCTTGCGTGCCTGCTGTCCGCCGTGCGCGCAGCAAGTTGTTTCAGGCGGGTGCGGAGGAGGAGGCGCGCAGCGAGGGGGCGGCGGAAGCATCAGGGTTGGCGGACGACGCAGCGGCCGTGGGGCTGCTGCTGCCGTCGCGGTCGCCCAACTCCACGCTGGCGGACGGGGAGCGGGAGGGCGAGGGCGAGAGCCAATGGGAGCGTCGCATCCGCAATGTCACGGACTGGTCCCGCCGCCCTGCAAGCGCGTGCGGGCGGGTCTCTGTGCGCCCGTCGTCCGCCGCCGCGTCCCCCTCTTCCCGCCTGTCCCCGCAAGAGCAGTGTCTGGACGACAGCCAGCTCTCCATGCCGCGCCAATTCACCCCCGACGTCTTCTCCGCCTCCTCGCCCTTCTCGTCCCCCTCGCGCGCCCCCCCGCGCTCGCTCTTCGACGACCCCATGCTCAGCGAGTTCTCGTCCGCGCCCGCGCAAACCAGACTCAACCCCCACCGCACGTCCAATGACGGGTCGGACGGCGCGGACGGGGCGGGAGGCGAGGGGGAGGACGCGGAGGAAGAGGGCGAGGAGTCGCTGAGCGATGAGATGGCGAGGGTGACGGCGGGACCGTCGCCGGAGCACTCGGGGGCGTCGTCGCCCAACATACTGGTTCTGGACACGCCGTCAGATTCAGGCACCGTCACCACGCACTCGTCTCTCAACATGGGGCTGCCGCCGCGCCGCTCCGACCACCACAGCAAGGCGCCCGTGTCCTTCACCGGCGTCGCCCCCCGCGCTGCCCAGTCCGTGCCCTCGTCCCCGCCCGTCACCGCGCTGCCCTCCCCCGACCGCGCGCTGGCGGCCGCGCGCGAGCGCGACAAGGACTCGACGGCGCGGCTGCGCGCAGTGGGGCGGTCCGTGAGCATGAAGCTGTTCCGCTCCGCTGGGGCCCCGGGGCCTGGTGGGCCGCACTCCAACCGACCACCGCTGCCACGCAACCAGCAGGGGCAGAAGGGCGCGTCGGATAAGGATAAGGAGAAGGGTGGGGGAGGGGGCAGCGGCAGCGGTAGCGCGTTGCTGACGTGCCCCGAGTGGGAGCAGCTGTACGGACTGGCGAAGCGGATAGCCAAGGACGTTAGCCTCGCGCAATGCGGCGACGCGTACAGGTGCCCTCCCATCCCATTACTACCCGTGCTTGCTGCTCGTGCTCGCACACACACTGCTTGCTGCTCACGCTCGCACACAGTGAGGAGGGGTAGTGCCGGGGACTAGGGGGGGCGTGTCGTGCCCTCACTCACAGTCCTCTAACACTGCCGCTTGCCCACCTTGTCACACGTCCATTTCCCCCGTTGTGTGTGTGCTGTGCTGTGCTGTGCTGTGCTGTGCTGTGCTGTGCTGTGCTGTGCTGTGCTGTGCTGTGTGTGCCGTGTGTGCTGTGCTGTGCTGTGCTGTGCCGTGCCGTGCTGTGCTGTGCTGTGCTGTGCTGTGCTGTGCTGTGCTGTGCTGTGCTGTGCTGTGCTGTGCTGTGTGTGCCGTGTGTGCTGTGCTGTGCTGTGCTGTGCTGTGCCGTGCCGTGCTGTGCTGTGCTGTGCTGTGCTGTGCTGTGCTGTGCTGTGCTGTGCTGTGCTGTGCTGTGCTGTGCTGTGCTGTGCTGTGCTGCGCTGTGTGTGCTGTGCTGTGCCGTGCTGTGCTGCGTGTATGTGTGCTCGCAGGGGTGCGCGACTGGCGGTGCTAAAGGAAGCGGTGAGCGCGCTGGGGGTGGAGGCGTTGGAGGGGCGCGACCTGCAGGCGCTGCCGTGGGGCGACATGGAGCAGGTGCTGCGCACATGGCTGCTCCACACGCATGCTCTGGTAACACGGGGAGGAGGCTTGGGCGAGGGGGGGAACAGGGGGGTAGGGTGGTGGGGGGGATAAGGCGGTGGTTTGGGGTATGTATGTACTGACGGGGTGCCGGATGAGTGTCTGCTGGGCTTGGGCTTTTGCATACCATGGCAGTTGATGCGAGTGGTGTGGTGCGGTTGATGCGAGTGGTGTGGTGCAGTGATGCTAATGCTGCTCATCAGACTGCGCTGCTGCTGCCCGCAGGTGGTGCATGCGTGCCTTGTCATGTGCTGCTGACCATGCCATCTTCTGCACAAGCATGATGTGCGTGCAAGCGTGGACGCGAGCAAGCACCATCCCGTGTGTTTCGTCCCATGTGTGTACTGCCATGCCATGCCCGCCTCGTGTGAGTGAGAGCAGGTGGCAGTGCATCTGGACGGGGAGAGGGCGCTCTTTGCATCGGTCATAGGGCGCCTGGGTGTGGGCACGCTGACCGTCTTCACCACGCTGCTCACGGACTCGGGGCTAGTGGCGGCGCTACGAGTGCAGGCCAGCAACGCCAACGCACTGCTGGCCACGCCATGCCTGCCTGAGAAGCTCTTTGCCTACCTGGACGCCTTCTGGCTCTGCCGCTCCTCCGTTGCCTCGGTGCGCCCCCTCCCTCCCCTTCCGCTGCCTTGCCCCCTCCCCATCCTTCTCGTTTCAACCCCCTCACGAAGAGAGACGAGCCGAAAACAGTGAGACATGCATTGAAAGTCGAGCCTAGAACGAATCCTGGAGGTGACCCTGTGCATTGGCGTGGCTGTGGTGGTGCTGTGTGCATGGGTGCCCCTGTGTGGTGCATGGGCGGGCAGGTGGAGGAGGCGGCCAAGGCAGCGGAGGACACGGCACTGGCGGGCATGTGGGTGGAGCTGCCGGGCAAGCTGGCGCGCGCAGCAACGAGCTGCATTGACGAGGTCGTGGCTGTGCTCAAGGTGTCCGCGGGCTCCTCCGCTTCCATGGCCAAGCGCTCCGTCACCCACCGCCTCAGGTGCGTGCCGTGGCGTGGCGTGCTGCCGCACGTGGGCATGCGTGCAGGGGTGGGTGCGAGATGGGCCGGTAGTGGCGTGTGTGGATGGTGGGGGTTAGTGGGATACGGGAGCGGAGTAGCATGATGGTACGGCCAGGCACGACCCTGGTGTGTGGGATGTGTTGAGGTGGCACTGGATCTCTGGTGACCCTGATGACCTGGGGGCTGCTGGCCGTTAACAAGGGGAATGCATGCTGATGACGACCTCGGTACACACGTTTGTGATGTGGCACTGCACGTGGTGAGCTGCAATGGGATCATCTGACGCACTGTTATTCGTGGCACTGATATGGCATGGATGGCATGCCTTGATGGTGTTGATGGCTGTGAGCAGGCTGAGTCGGAGCAGCAAGGGCATGGAGACGAGTGGCGAGGGGCAGGTGGATGCCACCGTGCATCCCATCACCAGCTATGTCGTCAACTACGTGCGCCAGATCATGGACAAGTGAGTGGGATGATGGACAAGTGAGTGGGATGATGGACGAGTGAGTGGGATGATGGACGAGTGAGTGGGATGATGGACGAGTGAGTGGGATGATGGACGAGTGAGTGCGATGATGGACGAGTGAGTGGGATGATGGACGAGTGAGTGGGATGATGGACGAGTGAGTGCGATGATGGACGAGTGAGTGGGATGATGGACGAGTGAGTGGGATGATGGACAAGTGAGTTATGGACAAGCAAGTCAGTGCATCAATTGCTGTGACTGAAAGCACTTTTCTTCACTCATGTCTCAACACGTCTGAACTGCATGCTGTGCGGTGCCTGTACCCGTGGCAGGAACATAGCGGGCAGCTACGGGTGCATACTGCAGGCGGCGATCGAGGAGCATTTCCCTGAGCGAACCAGTGTGGAGGCGGTGGGCATGAAGGTGCTGGAAGCATTGGAGGCGAACCTGGAGGCCAAGGCTGCACGCTGCCATGACGACATGACCAAGATGCTCTTCTTCGTCAACAACTTCTGCTACATCTGCAACCACCTGTGCGTGCCGTGCCACCCACCTCGCCTCCTGATCAAAGTAGTGTTTTGAGACGTCTCAAAACACGACATGACCAAGATGCTGTTTTTCGTTAATAACGTCTGCTACACCTGCAACCACCTGTGCGTGTGTGCCTGTATGTCTGCCTGCTGCGCTCCACTCTGCGTCTGCTCGCCCCACCTTAACTCGTGCCATTCTGCCTGTGTGTCCATGCAGCCATGCATCATGCAGACACATTGGCTGGTGAAACTTTGATTAGCCGCGAGTGGAAAGCGTTTCTTGTGGCTTCCTTCTGGCTGCACCGTGCCGCGGGACTCACTCACTCGCCTCACCACTGCCCCTTGCACCCCATCCGCCCTTCCCTGCAGCTCGGACTCGCCCTTCAAGTGCACGCAGTCATTCAAGCAGAAGCAGGAGCGCAGCGCCCAGTCCTTCGCCACCATCGCCCTCTCCAAGGCATGCTCTCCTCGCCCATCCCGCACCCTCCGTGCCATCCACGCTCCGTGCCATCTCCGCTTCATGCCATCCACGCTCTTCTTACCGAAACCTCCTGCTCTTCTCTCCGTTCCTCTGGGCGCCCGTCGGCCAACACTCTTGCGTCACTCTCTTTCTTGCTTGCGCACCTCGCCTCAGCTTGCATCTTCCTCCTTGAGCCCGCTGTCGTATGCACGTTCACAGTACCGCCCTGCCTCTGCTTCTCCCTCTGTCTGTGTGTGCTTGTGTGTGTGCATGTGTGTGTGTGCGTGAGTGCAGCTGCATGGAGCCCTGGGTCCCAAGGGCCACAGCCAGGGCTACGACAGGGGCGAGGTCCGCAACAGGTGTGTGTGTGCCACTGCGGCCTTGCCATACTCCATCAGTCCCCACTACCTCTGCCCGTGCTGTCTTCCAGTGCTGTCATGCGCCTCTGGCATACATTGCTGACATGTGAAGGGCACGCGGTGTGTGTGTGTGTGAGCGTGTGGCAGGCTGAAGCGGTTCAACCGGCTGTTTGAGGAGCTGGCGCTGCAGCAGAAGGACTGGGTGATCACGGACGACAAGAGCCGCAAGGAGGTGCGGCGCCTGCTGGGCGCCTCCATCAAAGACCACTACATGGACTTCCTCACCCCCCACCGGTGCGCAGTCCCACCTACCTTTCCTGCCCCCCCTTTCCCACGCCCCTGCATCCTCTGACTTTTGAGTCGACTCAAAAGCCTGCTGGGCGCCTCCATCAAAGACCACTACATGGACTTCCTCACCCCCCACCGGTGCGCAATCCCTCCTACCTGCTCCCTCACCCCTCTGCCTTTTGGCCTGGTAGCACAGGATCATGCTCCTGTGCTGCTTCTGGGCTCCTTGCTGCCACACTGCCCTGCTGCCTGGAGCCTTTTGGTGTCTTTGCTGTTCTCGCTCACCTGTATGTGGATGCCTGTGTGATCTGGTGCCATGCATGCATGCATGGGGGTGCAGGGACGTGTTGACGGACATATCAACGTACCAGTGGACGCCAGACGGCATAGAGCGCATGGTGCTCAAGTCCTTCCTGCTGGGCCGTGGAGCCGTGCCCTTCGCCACCTCCATGTGACTCCTCCCACGCAATGCCACGCCACGACAACTCCTCGCGTTCGCGCCTCCATGCCCCTCCAGCTATCACCAGCCCTGCCCCATGCAGCTGTCCTGCCGCACTTGCCCATGCATGGCCGTCCGCTGCTCACTGGCACCTGTTGAGATGTGTGGCGGGGTGTTGCTGCTGCTGCTGCTCTGTGCGGTTGTGCCACATGCAAGCGTGCACCTCCCTGGGGTTGGGACTGGTGCTTCTGGAAGGAGGCGGTTCTGGTGCAATGGCGCCCTGCTGTGTGTGCACGCAGGCAGTGGGGCGAGCGATGGAGGGGGTGGGAGGAGCAAGCGGATGCATGTAGATGCCTGAGCAGAGCAGTGACACTGCAGGGGTTAAGCACAACCAGCAGGGGTTAGGAAGACAGAGAAGCTTGGAGAAGAGGAACAAGGGAGCAAAAGCTTGGAGAAGAGAAGATAATAAACGAGTAGGAGCAAAGGGTTTGTGATGGAGAGGGGCCACGGGCAGTGATATCATAAAATGCAGGGCAGAAGCTAAGTGGCAAGCAAGTGGGAGGCAGACAGGCAGCAGTAGAAATGCTGATAAATGAGGTGGTGCGCAGTGGTGGCACTCTGACAGTGTGAAGCGAGGCAGCAGGGGGTGTGGCTGTGTCTCCCTTGTGTGTACATCCAGTTTACCCACCAGTGCTTGCGATTGCTAGGGTTTGTGTAGGTAAGGTGAAGTTAATGGATAGTGTGGCACTAGTACCATGTGTACGGTAATAGCACTGTTTGATGTAACAACCAGCATAATCCACCTCCACTGGGCCGCTGTAACATGCTGGGTGCCGCACTCATGCATACGCTCCAATCCAACATCCCTTTCTGGATGCCAGTCATATGACAGAATTCTCCAACTAGGCTTTGTGTAGATTGACATGCAGTATCCTTGACCTAATGTGCTAATCGGTTTTGTTAACATGCAAACTGTGTTAGGCTGCCAGCACAAGCACTCTCGTTCATAGGTGTCCACCATCCAGCACTAAGCAGGCTGCTACTGAGGCCACGCACTAAGCACATGCACGTGCATGTCGCGTCCCAGCAGCACCCGGCCCTCCGCCACGCACAACACATCACATTCACATGCTGCCAGCCTGGCAGGCCCTGCAATGGCGATACAACAGAGACAGTGGCAGTGCTCGCCCTTACTTGTGATAGGTCAGCGCCCAACCCCCATCATCGCCCCTGTGACCCCCCACTCCTCCCACCCCCTCCCCTCCCCCGGCCCCCCTGCATCCCTGTCCTACCTCCCCCCCGCCCTCCCCAACCCCCTGCCTTCTCTTCCCGCGCCTCCCCTCCTCTCCCTTCCCTCCCTCCTCTCCCCCCTCGCCCCCCTCTCCCCATGCCTCTGCCCATGCCCCCGCCCCCACGCGGCCCTCTGCCCCCTCCCTCCCCCCTGCCTCCTTCCCCCCCTCCTCCCCTGCTACGCACAATGCCCTCCAGCGGCTCACCGCGCTCCACCGCTCTCTCCACCAGCATTGCCATCTGCTGGTCGCGCCGCGACACCAGAGTCGTCACACGCCCTGGGGGAGGGGCACGCACGGACGGACAGACACACATGGCGCACAGGCACGGGGCACACAAGAGAGTGGGAAAGAGGATTGCGGTGGTCGCACAGAAGAGCACAAGCATGGCTGTTTCCTCTCGTCTCGCATCACCCATCTCTCTTACAACACGTTTTAAATAAAAAAAAACAACAGGCTTTTCATGTGCCGCTTCCTTCACAACACATGCTGCTCCCCACACTCCCCACACTCCCCACACTCCCCACACTCCCCACACTCCCCACACTCCCCACACTCCCCACACTCCCCACACTCCCCACACTCCCCACACTCCCCACACTCCCCACACTCCCCACACTCCCCACACTCCCCACACTCCCCACACTCCCCACACTCCCCACACTCCCCACACTCCCCACACTCCCCACACTCCCCACACTCCCCACACTCCCCACACTCCCCACACTCCCCACACTCCCCACACTCCCCACACTCCCCACACTCCCCACACTCCCCACACTCCCCACACTCCCCACACTCCCCACACTCCCACACTCCCCACACTCCCCACACTCCCCACACTCCCCACACTCCCCACACTCCCCACACTCCCCACACTCCCCACACTCCCCACACTCCCCACACTCCCCACACTCCCCACACTCCCCACACTCCCCACACTCCCCACACTCCCCACACTCCCCACACTCCCCACACTCCCCACACTCCCCACACTCCCCACACTCCCCACACTCCCCACACTCCCCACACTCCCCACACTCCCCACACTCCCCACACTCCCCACACTCCCCACACTCCCCACACTCCCCACACTCCCCACACTCCCCACACTCCCCACACTCCCCACACTCCCCACACTCCCCACACTCCCCACACTCCCCACACTCCCCACACTCCCCACACTCCCCACACTCCCCACACTCCCCACACTCCCCACACTCCCCACACTCCCCACACTCCCCACACTCCCCACACTCCCCACACTCCCCACACTCCCCACACTCCCCACACTCCCCACACTCCCCACACTCCCCACACTCCCCACACTCCCCACACTCCCCACACTCCCCACACTCCCCACACTCCCCACACTCCCCACACTCCCCACACTCCCCACACTCCCCACACTCCCCACACTCCCCACACTCCCCACACTCCCCACACTCCCCACACTCCCCACACTCCCCACACTCCCCACACTCCCCACACTCCCCACACTCCCCACACTCCCCACACTCCCCACACTCCCCACAACTCCCCACACTCCCCACACTCCCCACACTCCCCACACTCCCCACACTCCCCACACTCCCCACACTCCCCACACTCCCCACACTCCCCACACTCCCCACACTCCCCACACTCCCCACACTCCCCACACTCCCCACACTCCCCACACTCCCCACACTCCCCACACTCCCCACACTCCCCACACTCCCCACACTCCCCACACTCCCCCACACTCCCCACACTCCCCACACTCCCCACACTCCCCACACTCCCCCACACTCCCCACACTCCCCACACTCCCCACACTCCCCACACTCCCCACACTCCCCACACTCCCCACACTCCCCACACTCCCCACACTCCCCACACTCCCCACACTCCCCACACTCCCACACTCCCCACACTCCCCACACTCCCCACACTCCCCCACACTCCCCACACTCCCCACACTCCCCACACTCCCCACACTCCCACACTCCCCACACTCCCCACACTCCCCACACTCCCCACACTCCCCACACTCCCCACACTCCCCACACTCCCCACACTCCCACACTCCCACACTCCCCACACTCCCCACACTCCCCACACTCCCCACACTCCCCACACTCCCCCACCCCACACTCCCCACACTCCCACACTCCCCACACTCCCCACACTCCCCACACTCCCCCACACTCCCCACACTCCCCCCACTCCCCACACTCCCCACACTCCCCACACTCCCCACACTCCCCACACTCCCCACACTCCCCACACTCCCCACACACTCCCCACACTCCCCACACTGAAGGCCCCACAATCCCCCACTCCCCACACTCCCCACACTCCCCACCCTCCCCAACTCCCCACACATCCCCACACTCCCCACACTCCCCACACTCCCCCACACTCCCCCACACTCCCACACTCCCCACACTCCCCACACTCCCCCACACTCCCCACACTCCGCCCACACTCCCCACCCTCCCCACACTCCCCACACTCCCCACACTCCCCACACTCCCCACACTCCCCACACTCCCCACCTCCCCACACTCCCCACACTCCCCACACTCCCCACACTCCCACACTCCCCACACTCCCCACACTCCCACACTCCCACACTCCCCACACTCCCCAACACTCCCAACACACTCCCCACACTCCCCACACTCCCCACACTCCCCACACTCCCCACACTCCCCACACTCCCCACACTCCCCACACTCCCCACACTCCCACACTCCCCCACACTCCCCACACTCCCCACACTCCCCACACTCCCCACACTCCCCACACTCCCCACCACTCCCCACACTCCCCCAACACTCCCCACACTCCCCACACTCCCCACACTCCCACACTCCCCACACTCCCCACACTCCCCACACTCCCCACACTCCCCACACTCCCCACACTCCCCACACTCCCCACACTCCCACACTCCCCACACTCCCCACACTCCCCACACTCCCCACACTCCCCACACTCCCCACACTCCCCACACTCCCCACACTCCCCACACTCCCCACACTCCCCACACTCCCCACACTCCCCACACTCCCACACTCCCCACACTCCCCACACTCCCCACACTCCCCACACTCCCCACACTCCCCACACTCCCCACACTCCCCACACTCCCCACACTCCCCACACTCCCACACTCCCCACACTCCCCACACTCCCCACACTCCCCACACTCCCACACTCCCCACACTCCCCACACTCCCCACACTCCCCACACTCCCCACACTCCCCACACTCCCCACACTCCCCACACTCCCCACACTCCCCACACTCCCCACACTCCCCACACTCCCCACACTCCCCACACTCCCCACACTCCCCACACTCCCCACACTCCCCACACTCCCCCACCACTCCCCACACTCCCCACACTCCCCACACTCCCCACACTCCCCACACTCCCCACACTCCCCACACTCCCCACACTCCCCACACTCCCCACACTCCCCACACTCCCCACACTCCCCACACTCCCCACACTCCCCACACTCCCCACACTCCCCACACTCCCCACACTCCCCACACTCCCCACACTCCCCACACTCCCCACACTCCCCACACTCCCACACTCCCCACACTCCCCACACTCCCCACACTCCCACACTCCCCACACTCCCCACACTCCCCACACTCCCCACACTCCCCACACTCCCCACACTCCCCACACTCCCCACACTCACCCCACACTCCCCACACTCCCCACACTCCCCCCACACTCCCCACACTCCCACACCACACACTCCCCACACTCCCCACACTCCCCACACTCCCCACACTCCCCACACTCCCACACTCCCCACACTCCCCACACTCCCCACACTCCCCACACTCCCCACACTCCCCACACTCCCCACACTCCCCACACTCCCCACACTCCCACACTCCCCACACACTCCCACACTCCCCACACTCCCCACACTCCCCACACTCCCCACACTCCCCACACTCCCCACACTCCCCACACTCCCCTCCCCACACTCCCCACACTCCCCACACTCCCCACACTCCCCACACTCCCCACACTCCCCACACTCCCCACACTCCCACACTCCCCACACTCCCCACACTCCCACACTCACAACCACTCCCCACACTCCCCACACTCCCCACACTCCCCACACTCCCCACACTCCCCACACTCCACACTCCCCACACTCCCCACACTCCCCACACTCCCACACTCCCACACTCCCCACACTCCCCACACTCCCACACTCCCCACACTCCCACACTCCCCACACTCCCCACACTCCCCACACTCCCCACACTCCCCACACTCCCACACTCCCCACACTCCCCACACTCCCCACACTCCCCACACTCCCCACACTCCCCACACTACACTCCCCACACTCCCCACACTCCCCACACTCCCCACACTCCCCACACTCCCCACACTCCCCACACTCCCCCACACTCCCCACACTCCCCACACTCCCCACACTCCCCACACTCCCCACACTCCCACACTCCCACACTCCCCACACTCCCCACACTCCCCACACTCCCCACACTCCCCCACACTCCCCACACTCCCCACACTCCCCACACTCCCCACACTCCCCCACACTCCCCACACTCCCCACACTCCCCACACTCCCCACACTCCCCACACTCCCCACACTCCCCACACCTCCCCACACTCCCCACACTCCCCACACTCCCCACACTCCCCACACTCCCCACACTCCCCACACTCCCCACACTCCCCACACTCCCCACACTCCCCACACTCCCCACACTCCCCACACTCCCACCCCACACTCCCCACACTCCCCACACTCCCCACTCCCCACACTCCCCACACTCCCCACACTCCCCACACTCCCACACTCCCCACACTCCCCACACTCCCCACACTCCCCACACTCCCCACACTCCCCACACTCCCCACACTCCCCACACTCCCCACACTCCCCACACTCCCCACACTCCCCACACTCCCCACACTCCCCACACTCCCCACACTCCCCACACTCCCCACACTCCCCACACTCCCACACCCCCACACTCCCCACACTCCCCACACTCCCACACTCCCCACACTCCCCACTCCCCACACTCCCCACACTCCCCACACTCCCCACACTCCCACACTCCCCACACTCCCCACACTCCCCACACTCCCCACACTCCCCACACTCCCCACACTCCCCACACTCCCCACACTCCCCACACTCCCCACACTCCCCACACTCCCCACACTCCCCACACTCCCCACACTACACTCCCCACAGCACCACACTCCCCACACATCCCCACACTCCCCACCAACACTCCCACACTCCCACACTCCCCACCACTCCCCACACTCCCCACACTCCCCACACTCCCCACACTCCCCACACTCCCCTCCCCACACTCCCCACACTCCCCACACTCCCCACACTCCCCACACTCCCCACACTCCCCACACTCCCCACACTCCCCACACTCCCCACACTCCCCACACTCCCCACACTCCCCACACTCCCCACACTCCCCACACTCCCCACACTCCCCACACTCCCCACACTCCCCACACTCCCCACACTCCCCACACTCCCCACACTCCCCACACTCCCCACACTCCCCACACTCCCCACACTCCCCACACTCCCCACACTCCCCACACTCCCCACACTCCCCACACTCCCCACACTCCCCACACTCCCCACACTCCCCACACTCCCAACTCCCCACCCCACACTCCCCACACTCCCCACACTCCCCACACTCCCCACACTCCCCACACTCCCCACACTCCCCACACTCCCCACACTCCCCACACTCCCCACACTCCCCACACTCCCCACACTCCCCACACTCCCCACAATCCCCACAATCCCCACAATCCCCACAATCCCCACTCCCCCCTTCACACCGCAGCTCACCCTTGGCGCCCATGCGGGCGGTGCGGCCTGCACGGTGCAGATAGTCCACCTGCCACCACGCACCACCACCGCGGGAGTCAGATCATCGTCACGGGGGCTTATCAGGCCACAGAGTTATCAGGTCACAGATACGGCAGGATTCGGGTGCACGGGAGACAGACAGGGACGGCAAGTGCAACATCCAGGTGCGCAGGGGAGAGAGAAAGCGGAGGAAAGTGAGGGGAGTGAGGTGAGTGAGAGGGAGGGGGCGGTACAGGAGTCATGGGGAAGTCGAAGTTGATAACATGGTCCACCACCAGGTCTAGCCCTCGCGCCGCCAGGTCAGTGCACACCAGCACTGGCTGCACCGCCCGCTGCTTGCTGCGCGGCACTGCTGCTGCTGCTGCTGCCTCGTACTCGTCGTCCCACTCGCCGTCCGAGTCGCTGTCTTGGAAGCGGTCGGGCAGCATGGGTGCGATGCCCAGGTCGTCCTCCCCACCCATGGCCCCGCCGCTCCTGAACGCCTCTAGGTTGCCCGCCCTGTGCGCACCAACAGAGGCGAGCGAGTGTGGGGGGGGGAGAGACAGAGAGAGTGGGCGGAGAATGTTCATGTGGAAAGGCATGGCGGGTAGGCAAGCAGGTGATCCAAGCAGTGCACAGGTGCTGTGCACACACACGGCGCGCACTAGGGAACAGCACTAGGGAACAGCACAGGATGGGCGCATGGCACGGCGTGTGCGGTGCGGCGCGGTGCGGTGCGGCGCACCTGTGTTCGGGCGGCACTTGGCCGTGGTAGTTGGTGGTGAGGATGTTGGCCTCGGACAGGAAGTGGTCCACGGCACGGCACGACTGCACCGTGTTGCAGAACACCATGCACCGCTGGCCCCCTGCCACCAGCGGCTGCAGCAGCTGCTTCACCAGAGAGGGGGGGGGGGGGGGGGGGGGGAACGGACGGGGGGGGGGGGGAAGCGAGGCAGGAGAGGAGAGGAAGTGGTCCACGGCACGGCACGACTGCACCGTGTTGCAGAACACCATGCACCGATGGCCCCCCGCCACCAGCGGCTGCAGCGGCTGCTTCCCGGACGAGGGGAAACAGGGAAGGAGGGCGGCGGGGGACAGAGCGAGGTAGGGACGAGGGAGGTGGCGTGGCGCATGAGAAAGGACGCCAGGCGAGCGGAACATGCAATGGATGAAACGGGTGGAGGCAGCAGCAGTGTGCGTGGTGGGAGCACTGATGGGCGTGAGGGGCATGCTGGCTGCATGGCGGACGGGGAGGAGGGTGAGGGAGGGGGCGCACCTGCAGCAGGGCGTTGGGGCGGCTGTCAGAGCCGGAGACGGGCACAAAGCGGTGCGTGGCGGAGGGCAGGCGGCGGTGCAGCGAGGCCGTGTGCAGATGGGTGATGCCGGGGAACTCGTCGTTCAGCAGCCGCTGCACCGCCTGCCATGCACACACACACACACACACACACACACACACATGCCAGGGGCAGCACAGGGAGGGCGGCAGTGGAAAGTGTCTTGCTAAGAGTGAACATGAGCCACACCTAGTAGACACCAAGGGGATGGCGAGGAGAGCGAGGAGGGAGGCGGGAGGAGCAAGGAGAGGCGGAGGTAGGCAGTGCAGGGCGAGCGGTGGCGGGGCACCTTGGTGATGGTGGCGGTGACGAGCACGGTCTGAAAGGTCCTCTGGGCTGCTCCCCCTGGCGCTACTTTGCCCCGATTCCTGAGCGGCCTGAGCAGACGCCTGATATCCGCCCCAAAGCCCGCGTCAAACATGGTGTCCGCCTCGTCCAACACCTGCATGCACAGAGGTGGCACAGAGAGGTGCAGAGAGGTGCAGAGAGGTGCAGAGGGGCACAGAGGGGCACAGAAAGGCAAGCACTTATCTAAGACGCATTGCTGTTGTGGAGACGCCGTATGGCGTGCGTAACAGGATAAATACACCAGCGCAGATGTGGGCACCCAGCAACAACGACGACTAGAAACAAGCACTGAAAAGGAGAGCCGGATAGAGGTGAGGGGGGGAAGGGAGGGGAGTGGGAGAGGGAGGGGGAAAGGGGGGGGTTACGGGAGAGGGAGGGAGGGCATGCGGTGAGGAGGGGCACGCACGAGGTATTTAACGAGGGAGAGGGAGAGCGAGGAGGCGGCCATGTGTTGCAGCAGGCGGCCGGGCGTGGCGATGAGCAGGTCCACGGGCCACGACTGCAGCTGCTGCTGCTGCCCCGCTATGCTCGCCCCTCCTGACAGCATGGCTGCACGGAAGCGTGCGTGGTGGCACAGCGACTTGGCTACGCGCAGAACCTGCACGCGGGGGGAAGAGGAGGCCAGCAGAAGGGCAGTTGGGGGGAAACGACAGCCGGGGGAAGTGGTAGCCAGGGGAAGGGGTAGCCGGGGGAAGGGGTAGCCAGGGGAAGGGGTAGCCAGGGGAAGGGGCAGCCGGGGGAAGGGGTAGCCGGGGGAAGGGGTAGCCGGGGGAAGGGGTAGCCGGGGGAAGGGGTAGCCAGGGGAAGGGGTAGCCGGGGGAAGGGGTAGCCAGGGGAAGGGGCAGCCGGGGGAAGGGGTAGCCGGGGGAAGGGGTAGCCGGGGGAAGGGGTAGCCGGGGGAAGGGGTAGCCAGGGGAAGGGGTAGCCGGGGGAAGGGGTAGCCAGGGGAAGGGGCAGCCGGGGGAAGGGGTAGCCAGGGGAAGGGGCAGCCGGGGGAAGGGGTAGCCGGGGGAAGGAGCAGCCGGGGGAAGGGGTAGCCCGGGGAAAGGGGACAGCCAAGGTGCACGGTGAGGGCGTGGAGTGGTTTGGTTGCGAGCAGCAAGAGAGGGCGTTGGTGGTGGTGTGATGCAGGATGAATGAAAGAAACTCAATAACTTGACAGCAATTGAACTCACTCCCCCTCACCCACGTTACCCACCCTTCCCCCGCCCCCACTCCCCCCTGTCGCCCCCCATGCGGCCAGCCCCCAACCCCCAGCAGCAGCAGGAGGGCGGCAGCAGCAGCAGCAGCGGCAGCATCGCACCTGTTCGGCGAGCTCGCGAGTGGGGCACAGCACGATGGCGCGCGGCCGCTTCAACCGATCGCTGCGCCCGCCCTCCGCCTCGTCCGCGCGCATCATCTGATGCCACACGATCAAACCATGCCGTGCCATGCGGGAAAATGATGGGATATACAGCCACGCAAGAACGCCACGAGACACAAGCGGGATGCGAAGGGTGGTGAGGTTATCGGCAAGACTGGCACCCACGCACTACACCGCTCGCGCCTGAACCTGCACGTACACCGCACACCAGCCTTCCGCTAACCCTTTTTCGGACACGCGCATCCAGCATTTCTTGCGCCTTATTCCCCATATCTGCTGCTCCCTGCTATCCCAAACCCCCAAACCCTCCGCCCCGGTTCCTAAAACCCTACGGGCAGCAGGGCGCGCGGCTGACCTGCACGACGGGCAGCAGGTACGCGAGGGTTTTTCCCGACCCCGTGTGCGACGCCACCACCACGTCGCGCCCGCTCAGCGCGCCGGGGATGGCGAGGAGCTGGATCTCCGTGGGCGCGCCCAGCCCCAACTCGCGCACTGCGCCGATCAACTCCGCGCTCAGCCCTAGCTCCTGAAACCCCGCCTCGGGCCCCGCCGCGCCTTCCGCCCCTCCCCGCTCCTCCGCGTCCACCGCCTCGCCCTGGCGCGACGGCTTCCGCGTGGATTTTGACGGCGTCGCGGACGCGTCATTGGGGGACCGCAGCGACTCGAGTAGCTGTCGCGCGCGCAGTCGCTGGAGGGGCGAGAGGAGCTCCGGCGACGAGGGGGCATCGGGGGCCGTGCTCGACGCGCGGACCGATTGGTTGGCGGAGAAAGCGGATGGGGGGAAGGAAAGAAGCGGGCGGGGGCAAGAGAGGGCCGCGGGGAGGAAGGTGAGAGCTGAGAGAGACGAGAGAGCATGGGCGGGCCGGGCGGATCCGAGGGGAGAGGAGAGCGAAAGGGACATGGACGCGGACAGGAGGCGCGGCTGCGGGGCGAGAGCGGAATGGGTGGGTAAAGCAGCGCCGAGCGCGGTGGGCGCGTGGAGCATCGGGGCAGGGGACAGGGCTTTGCCCGAGGCGGGTGGTGGGGAGGGGAGAAGGCGGGGAGGCCCGCCGAGGGCAAGCATGGCTGACGAGCTGAGGCGCGCGGAAGGCGCAAGGGCGCGGCGGGAAAGATGTGGTGTGGTGTGAGGCGGGCGCAGTAGAGGACGGAGAGCAAAGGCGGCACGCAGCAGCGGCATCAACGGGCAAGGTCCAGCCGTTGGTGAAGGCAGATGCGAAGTTTTGGCTAGTGCTGAAGTGCAGGTTTTCTGGGTCACTGAGAAGACAAGTGATGCCTTTGTCGGAACCAGGTGTTGCACTGATAATCAGATGTACGAATTTCACTCTTAAAACGGGTACAGATCATGCACACGCCACTGTGTTTGCCAGTTATCACAAGCTTGTTTTTCTCATGACTGGTGAAGACAGAGGTTGTTCAACATATCTGCAGCTTCCAGTGAGATACGGTAAGGTGCAGACTGGTAAATGTTTGAACAAGCCAGTTTCAACTGCCTATATGTCACGCCTTCCTGATTGTGATTTTGGTTTAGAATTTAGGCATTCATAAATATTATCATTGAATCTATATTCGTAAATTCATCACTTCTGAACGATGTACAAGCCATCTATGTCTACATCATATACACGTGGCCTATCATAGTTATGGTGAGAACTAGCACAATCAGCCGCAATGAAGGTTCCAGTAGGGTGTACACGCGATGACCGCAGAACCGCATTCGAGAAGTTGAACTCGCCAGCCCAATTCGCCTCGCCACAAGCAAGCTTGCTCGTCACTGCACCATCGCGTTTCACCAATCTGCACACAAACAAGCCGACCGGGAATCGCGGCGTTCAAGACTCTGCAGCTCACCGCCACAGCCTCCCACTTTTTTCTTCTGCCGAATCCGTCGTTGTTAGTCAATCTGCTCCGTGCATGGTCCATCGCCCGGCCTCTTTTTACGGTCAGACATCCATGGCGCACTCCCCTCCGCACACCGCCGAACCGCGACAGCTGGGGGACCCATGCCTGGCACTTACCTCCGTTACTGTCGTCTCCGCTTAGCGTGATGCCCATTCGGTCGCTTTCTATATTGTACGACCCCGTGGTTCCCCCTGACGTCGTCGTGTGCATCGTTCTCTCGTCTCTCCTCCTCGCGCTCATCCTCATGCTTCGTCCGCCCATGTCCAACGCCCCTTCCGAATGGTGGTCCCGCCTCCGCGCACTCGTCTTCTCCCCCACCTCTCCGCGATCTTCCGCCTCAAGCCCCGCTTCCCCCTCCGCTGCCTCGCTCTCGGCCGCGGCAGTATCCGCGCTGTCTCCGCACACTCAACCGCTGTCGCTTTCCGCCGCATGCGGGGCGGGGCAGCTCTCTCCTCCTCCGCGGACCGGCGCGCTGTTGCCCGGCGGACCCGACGGCGGGTGGGCGCAGAGCGACGGGTGGGAAACGAGCGGCAGTGCGCACAGCAGGGGGGGAGGCAGCCACACGACTTCCGCGCTCTCGCCTGGTGGCGGCATGGGCGCGCGGGGAGGGGGGGGCGCTGCGGGGGTAACGGCGGAAGAGGTGGCGGTGGTGAAGGTGAGGGGGTTCCACTCGCTGGCGCGGGAGTGCGTGGAGCGCGCGGTGAGCGCGGAGGAGCGGGGGAAGGGCAGCAAGGCGGTGGCGTACTACCGCAAGGCGCTGGAGATCATCCACGAGGGGCTCGGCGCAGGCGCGCGCAGGTGCGTGCGCGCATGGGTGGCGCGGAAAGGGGCAGGTCGCAGGCCACGTGCTAGTGTGGCGGCAGGGGAGCAGGTGAGGGGTGGATAGGCATGGCATCACCCACCGCGCGCGCTCCGTCTCTCCTCACATTCTAACGAGAGCCAGGTTGCTGGCACATCTAAGCTCTACTCCGCACCCTTCTCTCTTGGGCCACTCTTTCCCAAAATGCTCTCGAATCTCCCCCTGCACTCCCCCACCCGCCACTTCCCCCCTCCCCACCTCCTCCCCCCCGCGCCTTCCGCCAGCACCTCCCCTGAAGTGCGGCGCTGCCATGCTGACCTCACGCGGTGGTCTGCTGACGTCACCCAGCGCCTGTCCGTGCTGCTGCACTCTCATTCAGCCTCCCCACCAGCGCAGCACAGGGGGGGAAAGCCGGCGCTAGGAGGCGCAGCAGGGGGCAGGGGCGGCGGGCGCAGTGGCGGGGGGAGGGAAGGGGGGGCGGGTGTGGGGGGCGTGAACGCGCAGCTGGTGGCGGTGGTGGAGGGAGAGATCGTGGACGCACGACCCAGCGTGCGCTGGGATGACATCGGTACACACCTCTCACTCTCTCACTCACTCCCCTTCCGCCCTCTCTCACTTCACATCACATCACTACACAAGATGCTGTTTTTCCCACCCGCCTCGGCACTCCCTCTGCTTCTCGCCCCTCCTTTCCCCATCACCCGCCCCACCTCGCCCAACCCAATCCTCCTCTGCTGCCATCCGTGCAACCGCTATCCCACACATGCCATCACCACCCACTCTGCCCAAAGCACGAGGCTCAGGCGTTGTCACATCACCCCACCCCATTTCCCCCGCCCATGGCACGGCAGTGGGTTTGGAGGGAGCGAAGCAGGCGCTGCAGGAGATGGTGATTCTGCCTGCGCTGCGCTCCGACCTCTTCCAGGGCATCCGCCGCCCACCCCGAGGTACCACACGCACGCACCCATGTATCCACCCACCCACCTGCGCACTTACCTACCCACCGCTGCCCAAGCGCCTCTCCCTTGTGCCACCTCCTCTTGGTCGCCCCACTTCATCCGCACCCGAGGGCTGCCTCTCCCCAGCTCACCACCACAGCTCTTCCGCTTCCTCGCACCATTCCACTTGTCCTAAATTCTCTCTGTGCGCGCCTCGCTGCCACCATCCTTCTCGCCACTGCCGCCAACCCTCTTTTCCCCTTCCATCCTCCAAGCATGCTTCCTTGCCCTATCCGCCGCTCCTGCCCCTCCTGCTGTGCTACCTCCCCCCAGGGTTGCTGTTGTACGGGCCACCGGGGAACGGCAAGACGATGCTGGCCAAGGCAGTGGCGGCAGAGGCGCGCGCCACCTTCTTCAACATCAGCGCTGCTACCCTCACCTCCAAATGGGTCAGTACTCTTTTTCTACAAGGACGATCGTCTTTTGCTTGAGACATCCCCTCCTACTGCCGCTCTTCTTCATGTCCAGTACAGAGGCGAGGGCCACCTTCTTCAACATCAGTGCCGCCACCCTCACCTCCAAATGGGTGCGCTGCACTGCACGCCTTCTCACCTCACCTCACCTCACCTCACCTCACCTCATCTCACCTCACCTCACCTCACCTCACCTCACCTCACCTCACCTCGCCCTGCTGTTTTGAGTTTTGAGACGTCTCAAAACTCCTTCTTCAACATCAGCGCCGCCACCCTCACCTCCAAATGGGTGCGCTGCTATTTTATGGCCGCTTATTCCATCCACCAGCTTCTCCATCTCCCTCTTCCCCTTCCGTCTCACCTCCCATGTAGTTGTATACATCTTCTCCCGAGCCATCTCTCTTCGCCCCCCTATGTATTCATCTCTTCTGCATCTAAAAGTCCCGCTTACCCTCCCCTCGCTTGCTTTAACTAAAAAAGCGCCCCTACTAAACCACCCGTGCAACCACGCCCGCACAGATGGGCGAGTCGGAGAAGCTAGTGCGGGCGCTGTTTGCGGTGGCGGCCCAGCGCCAGCCGTCTATTATCTTCATAGATGAGGTGCGCGCACACACACACACACACACACACACACACACACACACACACACTCGCAGCTGCCACGGGTGCTGCGATGCACGCACACCCCAATACTAACGTCATGCTGGGACACCCCAGCATGGGGTAACATGGAGCAGCAAGGTAACATGGGGCAGCATGGGAGCCTTGGCTGTCGTGCTGCCTATTGTCTTTTCCGCTTGCCACCACTATCGAGCTGCCTCTGTTCTCCCAGCAGCTGTCTGCGACGCATGGGTTCACACCCTTATGCTGTCGCACCCCACTTCGCCACTTCCTCGCACCGCTGTGCCCTGTGCCCCGCGCCCTGTGCCCCATGCCCCGTGCCCCGTGCCCCGTGCCCCGTGCCCCGTGTGCTGTGCTGCGCCATCAGATTGACAGTGTGCTGAGTGCGAGGGCGGCTAACGAGCACGAGGCGAGTCGGCGGCTCAAGACGGAGTTCCTGCTGCAGTTCGATGGGGTGCTCACTGCCCAATCCGACCATGTCGTTGTCATCGGTACCCTGCCATGCCATCTCCTGTCGTTCCGTGCCCTGTCATGCCGTCAGTTGCTGTAGTCTCTACACTCGCGCCCGCCAGTACAGCATGCTGCCAAGCCATGCCCATCATAAGCTCGGCCACCTCCATTGTCCCCTACCACCTACATGAGCAGGAGCCACCAACCGCCCCCAGGAGCTGGATGAGGCTGTGCTGCGCCGACTGGTGCGTGCCTGCTGCCCTCTCCTCCTGCTCCTGCTCGCCCCACTTCTTCTGCTTCTGTGCTGTGCTCCAATACATTTGCCCTGCACGCTGTTATTCACACGCCACCACATCCCAGTTCATACACCACCCATGCACCCACTCACGCCCCTGCTGCGCCTTCCCTTTCCCTGTGCACACGGCACCCATCCACCCCACTCAACTTTTGCTGAGCCCGACCATTCTCCCTGTGCGTGCCCCTCTATCCATGCGCCCTCCATCCCTCAGGTGAAGCGCATCTTCATTCCTCTGCCCGATGCTGCAGCGCGCACGGCACTCTTGCGCCACCTCACACGAGGCCGTGACTTCGCCATCTCAGGTCGTTCCCACCCCGCCCTGCCTGCTGCCATGCCTGCTGCCATGCCTGCCGCCGTGCCTGCCGCCCTGCCTGCTGCCGTGCCTGCTGCCGTGCCTGCTGCCGTGCCTGCCGCCCTGCCTGCTGCCGTGCCTGCTGCCGTGCCTGCTGCCGTGCCTGCTGCCATGCCTGTTGCCTTGCGCGGTGACATAGCTATTGACAAGCCTTTGCTCCATCTCAACCTTGTGCTTTCTCAAACAAGGTTCCAGTCTACAGTGCACTCGGGCACCTGTTAATATTGTGCGCATTCTCATACACAGCGCCATAATCTTTTCTCCTCACTCTTCTCACACACAACCCTTACCCCTCCCACCCGCAGATGCTGACATGCACCGCATTGTCTCTCTCACTCAAGGTGCGCCCTCCCTGCCTGCCACACCCTCATTGCCTGCATTCGTGCTTCTCACCCACCCCATCTCTCAATCCCTTTTTCATGCACATACCTTTGCTGCCATACATCCCCTCAGGCCCACTGACCCATCCCGTCTCCCTCACTCTCTCTCTCTCTCCCACATTCTGCCATGTGGCAGGATACTCAGCGAGTGACCTGAAGGCACTATGCCAGGAAGCGGCCATGGGGCCTATCAGAGAGCTGGGAGGCCGCATAGCCACAGCCAGCGCTCATGAGGTAACGCACCCACCACCCTCCTCCTTCGCCTGCTGTGCTGCCTTGTCTCCTGCGCTCGTTCTGCGGTGCTACTGATAATCACGTGGTCTTTTTCGGTGCACGCTTCATGCTCCGTGCCTCGCGGTTGGGCCTGTCCTCGGCTGTCCTGCCCCTGACCGTCCAGGTGCGGGCGGTGCGGGCGAGTGACATGCACGCAGCGCTCTCTGTCATCCGTGCCACCTGCTCACCTGACCGCCTCGAAGCCATGCACCAGTGGTCTGTTGACTTTGGAGCTGCTCTTTGAACCTCTCTTTGAACCTCTCTTTGAACCTCTCTTTGACCCTCTGCTGCGTCGATACTGCATTGTGCTGCCATATCTCCCTCCAAGATCCCTCCTGCACTCTACGTCCCGTTTTTCAGCGAAGTGATGTTTTACAGTGCTTGTTTTCCTTGTATATTGTGTTAATATTTACGAGACTGCTATCGCTCTACTGTAGTAGTAGGCAACCTGCAGCATACAGTGGTGTCCAGCAGTTGCGACTTCGATATGCTGGTACGGTACCGTATGAGAACCTACAGGTGGACTGAAAAGTATGATGAGTCATTCTAGGTGCTTCATGTTACACCTGGAGATTGTCCGATGAACATCGCCCTTCAAACTTGCTTGCTGGATCATGGTACTAACAGGGTTGTTCTTACCGTATGGGAAATGCTGCACATGCAATGCACCCGGCCTAGGGCAAGGTGCTCGGACTGCCTTTGAGGATGCACACCAGTTGTCCATGCGTATCCATATAAGATCAAAGGTGACCCTCTGAATCCACCTTCTTCAAATGATAATTCAACTACACTTTCGTATTGACCCTACTAGATGAACGTGATTCGGTCGGGCTCTGGTCTGGATGGATGGCTTCCTAGGAAATTGCATATTGTGTCTGTTTTCATTATCCCTGACAGGGCCCTTGCATTGGATGCAAATTGCTTGTTTGTATTCTAATCAATATACGGTATATAGATTTGGGTCAATGCGTAGAACGATAACAGCAGGTGCATTGTCTTCATGAGCATATACACGGTAATGCTCCTAGAGTTTCAGATGTAAATATGTTGCACTTGCTTTAAAGGCAGAAGAAAAAGACGCCCTGGGCGGGACCTCGGTAACAAGAAGGCTGTCCCTTGCCACTTCGCGCTCATGCCAAAGAAGAGGGGGGAGGTGAGGAGTGAATCAGGGGACACAAGGTGACAAGGGAGTGGGAGTGCAAAGGGAGAATGGGGTGCCATGAGTGTGCCTCGGTAACTCCAAGAAGGCTGTCCCATCGCATGCCACTCCACGCTCATGCCATAGAAGAGAAGGGGGGGGATGTGAGGAGTGAATTAGGGGAGACAAGGGAGGGGGAGTGCAGAGGGGGAAGGAGGTGCCATGGGTTCCCCTCACTAACTCCAAGAAGGCTGCCCCATGCCGCTCCTAGCTCATGCCAAATGAGGGGAGTGGGGGAGATGAAGGGTGAGTGGGGAGGGGAAACAAAGGAGGGGGGGTGCAGAGGGGGAAGGGGTTACCCAGGCTGCACCTTGGTAAACAGGAGTAGAGCTAGGGGTGAGTCGGAAGAGAGACGAGGGGAGAGCGGAGGGGGACGATGGAAGGCAAAGGGAATATGAGGGGAGGGCAGGGGGAGATGACGGGAGAGCCGGGGGGGAAGGGGGTGGGGGAGCGGGCGGAAACGAGGGAAGAGTGGGGGAGATGAGGGGAGAGCGGAGGAGGATGAGGGTGAGACAGGAGGGGGATGAGGGTGAGAAGGAGGGGGGGATGAGGGTGAGTCAGGGGGGGCGAGGAGAGGGAGGGTTGGGAACAAGGGGAGCGTGGGGGGGATGGGGAGAGAGCGAGGGGAGATGAGGAGGGGGTAAAGGGAGGGGTTTCACGGCATGGAGTTTCGATATAACGTTCTCCGTTACACGAGAGCATGTAACATGCTCGCCAAAAGCCGAGGTTCGCGAGAGTGTGTAGCAAGCTCGTGGACCTTTCTTCTCCCTTATCCGCCCTGCCTCGCCGCCTCTTGCCAGTCTAATGCCTCCCTTTTTATCTTGGGTTCATGCCGTGCCTCCCTCCCTCTCACGTTTCCCCTCCATATTGAGTTCCCCGTTTCTAATGTCTTGCGCAACGGTTCTATATAGAGCGCTGCGCTTCGCCTGTCTAACGAGATTGGCTGAGGCCGCAATGCCGACGCGGCCTCAAGTCGACGCGACTGCATGATAAGTATCGGCGAATCGACACTATTGATTCGTCCGCAAATCGATGCTACCATTCCTCCCGCGGTTCGTAACCTAGAAAACGTCAGATCTTACGACTAGTGGCTGCTTATTTCACTTGGATCTGAGACTAGTACTCGTTCAGGTACTAGACGTTGGAAGCGGCTAACACTGTAGCCAGACCGATAGCACGACTGTTCAGAGGCTACCGTAACAAGATACGAGGCACCCGCGAAATGAACCCTACGAATAAAAGGAACGAACTAATCGATTCTCTGCCTCGAATACGGAAGGTTAGGTTAGAGACACGTCCGAAGGGGAATGCGCTGGAAGTTGACGGATGAGAGCGAGGAACACCCCCCAACCCTATTGGCTCGCATGTTTTTTTTCTCAATGACCCCTTGTTATTTTCAGCTGCCCTGATCAAGTTCGCAAGGAACAAAATGGACAGCGAGAGCAGCTGAACCTTACGTTCACAAATCTAGTACCAATTTCAACGCAATCCCGCACTCCACGCACAAATTTCGAGAATTCTTTTAGTCGGCCGATATGTAAAATACACGTGCCAAGTCAACCGGCTCCTAAAAAATTCGTTCCCTGCCCCACCCAACCTTCCGTACCCGATAGTGCCCGTCAAACCACAGCACAACGATACGCGCCCTGAGGGTTTAAGTTTAGGGTTAAGGGTTGAGGCTAGCGTGCTTGTGAGGCGCTTCGGAAATGGTTTCGATTGCTCCAGCTGCTCCTCCGTGCGTCGCCGTCTGCGCATACCTTTTTCGGAAAGCGATCGCACATGGACGTTACGCTTACAACATTCGTGTCAGCAGAAGATATCGGGCTCTGGAGCTGTTGCTAGTTCATCTGGGTTCACAGGCATCATGCGCGTAATTTTTCTACGCTACATGTGCCAGAATAAACAAATTTGTTCTCCCAATTGCCTCAGCAAGATTCTCGTGGACTCAGGAGAATCGTATAATTCCTGTGGTTAATACATGCTAAATGACTCAGAGTAGCCAGATTCATGACTTTCCGTAAAGATATCAGTAAAGTCTTTTGGTGTCAGGTCTGCCTCTAGGCCTTGCTTTCACCATTCCAACTGCGCTTTCCTTGGGAGACTTATTTTCTTGCTTTTCGCCTGGTCCTTATCTAACTCTAGACGCAACAATTGTTTGGCTCAAATCTAGCAGTGTCGCGTTATCTGTTGTGCTTAATTCGCGTGCTTCCCTTGCTTCTCCCGCAGACGACCATTATGGGAGTGGCGTACGATGGGGGAGTCGTGCTTGGAGCTGACACTCGGGTTACCACAGGTATTATCGAAATATTTCAGGAATGCTCTCCAATACGCAGTTCAGGTTGAGACGTTTCCGTCGCTCGTCGTTCGTTCCTTAGTCCGTTCGTCCCTTCGTTCGTTTCGTTAGTTCGTTCTCTCAGCGTGTCACGTTTCCTTCCATCTGTCTTTCTCTGGCCTTCTCACTCCCCTCCTCTCCCGTGCCACACGTGGCATCCTCTGCGCCGTCACCAGGAACGTACATCAGCAACAGAGCGTCTGAGAAGATCACTGCCCTCACAGACTTCGCTTATCTCTGCTGATCGGGATCTGTGAGTGATTCCATTCTCAGCTGCTGAAGGGAAATCTAGTTTTCAATGAAGGCAACTGCCCTGTTTCCGCTTCAACTTACTCAGTCCTGTCAGTCTGCCTGAATGTCAGTCTGCCTGAATGTCAGTCTGCCTGAATGTCAGTCTGCCTGAATGTCAGTCTGCCTGAATGTCAGTCTGCCTGAATGTCAGTCTGCCTGAATGTCAGTCTGCCTGTTTGTCAGTCTGCCTGAATGTCAGTCTGCCTGAATGTCAGTCTGCCTGAATGTCAGTCTGCCTGAATGTCAGTCTGCCTGAATGTCAGTCTGCCTGAATGTCAGTCTGTCTGAATGTCAATTTGCCTGAATGTCAATTTGCCTAAATGTCAATTTGCCTAAATGTCTGCCTGAAGGTCAACCTGGATGTTTGGCTGAATATTAACCTATATATTTCCTCTCTGCCTAGTTGCTGACGCTCGCATTCCTAACATCTGGCTGCAACCGTCTTTACCTCTGCAGGCTGCGGACACCCAGACAGTGTCCACGTATGCGCAGTACTACCTCTCACAACACCAGTGAGTGCAGAGCTTACTCATGTGAGTGCTGAGAGCAGCACGGAGTAGGTTAGCAACAGAGACACGCAGACAGTCTCCACGTATGCGCAGTACTACTACCTCTCGCAACACCTTGATTGCGGAGCTTACTCAACGATGTGAGTGTCGGTAGCAGCAGGGAGTGCAGGTAGCGGTGTCCACCTTTGCACGCTACTACCTTGCCAGCCAGCATAGTGAGTGAACTCGGACTGAGACGTTTTTTTCCAGGATTTGAGTAGCAGTGAGTGCACATTCAATAAAGTAGGTGCAGTACTTAGCTCTCCGGTTCTGGTCTATGCATGCTACCAGCGGAACTTCGATATCTTTATGCACATGTTGTGAATTGGTTGTTTGTGCATGGCTTATGGTTGAACCTGCAACTTGACTTTGTTCCCACCTGTCTGCACATCGTGTCACATCACATCACATCACATCACATTACATTACAACATCGCATAGTATCACACCATCTCACATCATAAGCCTTCCATCTCAACCCATCCTGTGACATGGCATGGCATGGCCTGGCATGGCTAATGTGGTCCAGCAAATCAGCTACCTTCCCATCCCCTCCCCCCATTCCATTTTATCCCATCCCATCCCATCCCATCCCATCCCATCCCATCCCATCCCATCCCATCCCATCCCATCCCATCCCATCCCATCCCATCCCATCCCTTCCCATCCCTTCCCATCCCTTCCCATCCCATGGCATTGTTTGGCATGGCATCAGGATGGAGCTGGGCAAACCTACAGATGTGAAGACGGTGGCAAATGTGGTCAAGCAAATCAGTTACAACAACAAGGTGATTCAACTGTTGTTTCGAACCTATCAGCCGCCATATTGAAATAGACATCCCACGTTTCACCTCACAATCATGTCTGCCTTTTAAGGTTTGTTTTTTGTTTGTGTTTTTTTTTACTCCGTCCCACTCCCGTTTCCTTGTCATGCAACAGCGTATCCTCCTTTTTTATGTTGTCAGCAGACATGATCGTGAGGTGGCATGGTCGCTTCCTACTCTTAGTGGGTCTGTCCTCAGGGCTCATCTTCCTGTCTGCCCTCGTCTGTCCTGCCAGTGTACCAACAGAACATGCTATCAGCATGCTTTTTCTTCCTCACCCATACCTCATCCTCCCTGCTCCTCCATCCCCCCTGCACCCCCTTGCACCCTTATCCCCCCTGCACCCTCATCCCCCCTGCACCCTCATCCCCCTGCGCCCTCATCCTTATCCCATCAGAACATGCTATCAGCGTGCATGATAATGGCCGGGTGGGACCAGTACGACGGGGCGTCGGTATACGCGCTGCCGCAGGAAGGCACCCTGCTCAAGGCGCCCTTTGCCATCGGCGGGTCTGGCTCTTCGTACCTCTATGCCTTCTGTGACGCGCTTTTCAAGGAGGGAATGAACAAGGACGAGGCCGAGGTGAGCATATATTTCTGTTGTGGTGACAACACATGTGATGGAGGTAAGGCCTCTGTGATGGAGGCATAGGCCCCTTCGCCATCGGAGGGTATGGCTCCTCGTACCTCTATGCCTTCTGTGACGCGCTCTTTAAAGAGGGCATGAGCGAGGAGGAAGCTGAGGTGAGGGTTTCGTTTTGTTGTGCCAAGAACATCCATGTATATGGCAACGTAGCCTAACCGTGTACCTCTTTGCCTTCTGTGACGCGCTTTTCAAGGAGGGCATGAGCAAGGACGAGGCCGAGGTGAGATTCTGTTTCGTTGATGGATATAAGGGTTTTGTGGCCCACCTTTTATGTTTGAAGGATGCCCACGTAAAGGAAGACATGAGCAGGGAGGAGGCTGAGGCTGAGGTTAGACTGTTTGGTGCTGCACAACAGCGGATGTGATGGAAGTTCGTCCTTTGCAACCCGCGTGTACTCAATCTACAGCTTCATTCTCAGTTGTAATAAAGTCACTGTGCCCTGTGCCCTGTGCCCTGTGCCCTGTGACCTGTGCCCTGTGCCCTGGCCCTGGGATGCTTCCCTTCACCACCTCACCTGACCTCTTTTCCCCTGCCTGCCCGCATGCATGTCCTGTCTGCTGCCCGCATGCATGCCCTCGCTGCCCGCATGCATGTCCTCGCTGCCTGCCAGGCGTTTGTGGTGAAGGCAGTGTCTCTCGCCATGCCTCGAGACGGGTCGAGTGGGGGATGCGTGCACACCGTCACGGTGGGTCTCTTGCAACACTTACTGCTGCCTTGCATTAGAATGGCGATGCAGTTTTACATCGTCCTTCTTTGCATGTCATGCCACTCCCTCTGAAAGCCAGCACTCCCACGTGCCGTGCTGCCTCTGCATTGCCAATCTTTCATGTTATGCCCTTTGCCGTGTGCATCGTACAGAGTTATCCCCCTGTGCTTCTCCCCTCCCTCTCCCCTTTAGCTTCCGTTTTCTTCTCTCCAATGCTCATGTGGAGCCACTCTGGTCAGTGCTCTTCGCAGCCGCCACTCCTCATGTCACACGAGTGTCCGTTGCTTCCCGCCCACAGATTGACAAGGACGGGGCCACCAAAAAGTTCCACCCGGCTGACAAACTGGAGCTCTTCTGGGAGGAAATGCCTGCGCAGGAGTCCTTTCTCAAGCCGCTCGTTCCCGCCTCCTCGTAGCTCTGTTGGGAGGAGATGCCCGCACAGGAGTCGTTCCTCAAAGCCGCTTGTGCATCTTCGTAACTCTTGACCTGACTCACAAGGAGTCCTGTGAGGACTCACGTTTACAAGTTGCATCCAGGAGACAAGATTCTCAAGCTGCTGATTCCGCGCATGACTCGGGGCTCGATTCTGCAATTCCTTGGGTGCAGATTTCGTGCAATGGGGTGACTTCACTTACTGCAAATTCGTTTGACTATAGAATTAATGAACTTTTTGGTTGGCTTTATGTGACAGGCATGTCTAGTTTGGCTGAGAACTTTTTGGTATTACTCATGGAGGAAGTGCACATGAGAGAGTATGGTATTGAATTGCACTCAACGTTCCCTAGAAGACTATCACTTGAACTGCACACGCACAGCGAGTCCCCTCGAACTGGTGCCTCAGATCAGAGGTCCCCCCTAGAACTAGTGCCTCAGATCACAGGTCCCCCCTAGAACTAGTGCCTCAGATCAGAGGTCCCCCCTAGAACTAGTGCCTCAGATCAGAGGTCCCCCCTAGAACTAGTGCCTCCGATCAGAGGTCCCCCCTAGAACTTGTGCCTCAGATCACAGGTCCCCCCTAGAACTAGTGCCTCAGATCACAGGTCCCCCCTAGAACTAGTGCCTCAGATCAGAGGTCCCCCCTAGAATTAGTGCCTCAGATCAGAGGTCCCCCCTAGAACTAGTGCCTCAGATCAGAGGTCCCCCCTAGAACTAGTGCCTCCGATCAGAGGTCCCCCCTAGAACTTGTGCCTCAGATCACAGGTCCCCCCTAGAACTAGTGCCTCAGATCACAGGTCCCCCCTAGAACTAGTGCCTCAGATCACAGGTCCCCCCTAGAACTAGTGCCTGAGATCACAGGTCCCCCCTAGAACTAGTGCCTCAGATCAGAGGTCCCCCCTAGAACTAGTGCCTCAGATCACAGGTCCTCCCTAGAACTAGTGCCTCATATCAGAGGTCCTCCCTAGAACTAGTGCCTCAGATCAGAGGTCCTCCCTAGAACTAGTGCCTTTGATCAGAGGTCCCCCCTAGAACTAGTGCCTCAGATCAGAGGTCCCACCTAGAACTAATGCCTCAGATCACAGGTCCCCCCTAGAACTAGTGCCTCAGATCACAGGTCCCCCCTAGAACTAGTGCCTCAGGTCAGAGGTCCTCCCTAGAACTAGTGCCTCAGATCACAGGTCCTCCCTAGAACTAGTGCCTCAGATCAGAGGTCCTCCCTAGAACTAGTGCCTTTGATCAGAGGTCCCCCCTAGAACTAGTGCCTGAGATCACAGGTCCCCCCTAGAACTAGTGCCTCAGATCAGAAGTCCCCCCTAGAACTAGTGCCTCAGATCACAGGTCCTCCCTAGAACTAGTGCTTCATATCAGAGGTCCTCCCTAGAACTAGTGCCTTCGATCAGAGGTCCCCCCTAGAACTAGTGCCTCAGATCAGAGGTCCCACCTAGAACTAATGCCTCAGATCACAGGTCGCCCCTAGAACTAGTGCCTCAGGTCAGAGGTCCTTCCTAGAACTAGTGCCTCAGATCAGAGGTCCCCCCTAGAACTAGTGCCTTTGATCAGAGGTCCCCCCTAGAAGAAGTGCCTCAGATCAGAGGTCCCCCCTAGAAGAAGTGCGCCTGAGTATGGTATTGAATAGCATAGAAGTTTACAGCTCAATTGCTTCTCTAGAACTAGTCCCCTAGAACTAGTCCCTTATAAGTCCTCCCCCCTAGCTCTTGTCTCCTAGAAGAGTTCACAGCTCCACTGCTTCTGTGCTTCACTTCTCCATCCAGCCAGGCACCTTTCACCACCATCTTTCTGCCACGACCACCACCCTTCACTTCTCCACCATGCAGCCACCAGCTTTCACCATCTTTCTGACCATCACTTCTCCATCATCCAACCACCAGCTTTCACCGTCTTTCTGCCCTTCACTTCTCCATCACCCAACCACTCGCTTTGTTTTTTTTTTTTTTTTAGGCTTCACCATCAGAGCCAGGGATAAAAATCCATCCCATCAGCATCTCCGGGCGCGATGCTTACGGGACAAGACCCGGAGGCGTTACGGGTACTGCCGTGCTCGGCTAAAAATCCCAAGTAGAGCAAACCATCCAATCATGGCTTGCTCTAGCCACACCCACTCCAGTGTGGACTTTGCAACGTAGAGCCAACCAATTCCAGCAGAGCTGAAACGAGCTTGCTCTAGCCACCCCCACCTCAGAGTGGACTTTCCCCTTAGTTGCTGAGGTCTAGCCACACCCACCTGGGTGTGGACTAGCCTAGGGAACCAAGAACCCCCCACACCCACCCCGGTGTGAGAAAGCCTTTAAATGACCGAGACAGAGCCCCCCACACCCACCCCAGTGTGGGGAAAACCCTTATGTGGAAAGAGGAGATTTCTCCACACCCACGCCGGTGTGGACTACTCTCTCTCTCTTAAGCGGCTGAGAGCCTCACACCCTCCCCAGTGTGATCAGGCCTCATGAGAGCTCAAGCCCCTCACACCTGCCCCGGTGACTTGAAGAGAACGTCACCCACTCCAGCAGTGATGCTACCTGGCCATCCGGGTGCCCAGAACGCTTTGAAGGCCTGAACCTCCCTCCAATGTACAGAAGCCGGCCGGCCGACTGCACACCGTCAGGGCTCCAAAAACGTCCCGGCCCGGTTGCGCATCACATCACCACTGGAACAGGCTCCGCCCTCTGCCCCCCACACCCTCCCCAGTGTGGGAAAGCACCCTCGCATGCTGTCTCATGCTTGCCACTCCAAGGCCCCATCAAGCCTTGGCCACGTCTCAGCCACAGCTCAGCCCCCTCCTGGTCGAGGCACCCAGGCAGCCCCCTTGCGCGGCGGAATCCTGCACAGGACCAACACAACAAGTCAGTATACTGAAAAGGACATGGCTGGAAAACGAAAGTTTGAGACAGCGTAAAAGGAGACAGCTTGCAAAAAGACAGATTGCAAGGGAACAGCTTGCAATGAGACAACTTACTTTGTAAGTTGCAGCTTGAAAGTCGCAGCGTTGTGCAGCTCCTCCCAGCAGCTCCTCCCAGCAGCTCCTCCCAGCAGCTCCTCCATACCATGCCATACCATTCCATTCCGTACCATGCCATACCATTCCATTCCGTACCATGCCATACCATTCCATTCCGTACCATGCCATACCATTCCATTCCGTACCATGCCATTCCATTCCATTCCGTACCATGCCATACCATTCCATTCCGTACCATGCCATACCATTCCATTCCGTACCATGCCATTCCATTCCATTCCATACCATGCTATTCCATGACATTCCATACCATGCCATGCCATGACATTCCATACCATGCCATGCCATGACATTCCATGCCATGACATTCCATTCCATGCCATGCCATGCCATACCATGGCATTCCATCCCATTCCATACCATGCCATTCCATTCCATGCCATGCCATTCCATGCCATTCCATTCCATGCCATACCATCCCATGCCATCCCATGCCATGCAAAGCCAAGCCATGCCATGTCATCCCACGCCATGCCATGCCAACTCCTCCCAGCAGCTCCCTGCATAAGACGAAAACACCAGGTCAGTATAGTGGAACAGAAATGGCTGGGAAAACAAAAACTGAAGCAAGCTCGAGACAGCGCAAGGAGACTGCTTACGAGGAGACAGCTTGGAAGGAGACAGCTTCTTAAGTTGCAGCGCCTCCCAGCAGCTCCTCTCAGCAGCGCCTCCCATTCAACTCCTTCCAGCAGCTCCCTTCAACTCCTTTCAGCAGCTCCCTTCAACTCCTTGCAGCAGCAGCAGCTCCCTTCAACTCCTTGCAGCAGCAGCAGCTCCCTTCAACTCCTTTCAGCAGCAGCAGCAGCAGCAGCAGCAGCTCCCTTCAACTCCTTTTAGCAGCAGCAGCAGCAGCAGCAGCAGCAGCTCCCTTCAACTCCTTGCAGCAGCAGCAGCTCCCTTCAACTCCTTCAGCAGCACCATGTGGTGGAGTTTGGATTCCTGCACAGCACCACCAACGTAAGTCAGAAATCACAAAGATCGTAAAGACAAGAAGAAGGCAAGCACGAAAACGAGTGCGGGGATAGCAAAAGTGACAGCGAAATGAACTTTGGCGCAAAATAACGTACCTTGGGATGTAAGTTGGAGAGCCGGTGAATGGCGAAAGGCGGATGGCGATTGCAGATGGCGGATGGGTGGCGGAATCCCAACGAGTGCCTTCAATTCGACGTGAGCAGCTTCAGCTTTCTTCATTTCCAGCAGTTCCTTCCCTGCACGAGGCAATAAAACAAGGTCAGATCTTACCAAAATGAAAAATCTCAGAGAAACGCGCTGACTGTTCAAGGAAATGCAACGGAACTGAGATTAGACGTGCAGCAGTAGCAAGACCCAAAACAGAATCTTACCTTAAAAAGTAGAGAGGAGGACAAGGCGGGTGGCGAGTGGAGGGGGCTCCTCCCTTCAACTCCAGCAACTCGATCTCCTTGTCTTCGACATCAGCAGCACCAAGGGACTTGTCTTCGACATCAGCAGCACCACGAGCCTTGTCTTCGATTTCAGCAGCACCACGCACGCGAATTCAGCAGCAACAATGGAGTTCACTTCGACTCCAGCAGGGCTACGTTCAACTCCAGAAGTGGAGACTCGGATTCCTGCACAACACCACCAAACTAAGTTAGAAATCACCAAGGTATATCGTAAAGACAAGAAAAAAGCAAGCACGAAAGCGGGTGCGGAGGTGAAGCAATAGCAAAAGTGACAGCGAAATGAACTCTAGTGCAAAATAACTTACCTTGGGATTTAAGTTGGAGAACCGGTGAATGGCGGGGAGGCGGATGGCGATGGCGATGGCGGATGGGTGGCGGATCCCCAAGGAATGTCTTCAATTCGACTTGAGAAGCTTCAGTTTTCCTCATTTCCAGCAGCTCCTTCCCTGCACGAGGCAACAAAACAAGATCAGATCTTGAGTAACTATAAAATATCAAAGAAACGCGCTTACTGTTCAA